GCAGGGAGCCTGATGCGGGACTCGATCCTGGGACTCCAGGATCATGACCTGAGCTGAAGGCAGTCGCTTAACCAACTGAGCCACCCAGGCACCCGCTCTGTGCTTTTTTGTTAGTGGGTTAGGAGAGTATCTTATTGAGACCCTTTTTAATGGGCAGTTTTAATTCCCACAGTCTGTACAGGTTCTAGAAATTCTAAGAGAGCAAATAAAGAATAGCCATTGTTTTAAAGAAGGTCACTCTCTATTGTGGTTCCCCAGCCAGGCAGTTATGCAAGAATGTAATAGAAACAAAAAATTAAGAAAGGTGAGAAAAAGTAAGTATAGCTTTTCAGAGACTTTAGGTTCTATCTTAGTAAATTTCTTGGGTAATATTGATTCTTGTAGCACCTATATTCTCTCCCTGGTTGAGAGAGTACATAGTTCAAGAAAAGTATATACATTGATCATATATAAAGTCAAACATCACTGCATAAAATCTCTTATGGAAAAGTTATAGATGTTTATATATGTGCTCAGGTTGGGTTCTTCAAGGAATAGGTATTCTGTGATTAAACACAATGGAATATCTGCCATGTGTCTCTATGCCACAAAGGTAGATAAAAATAAAAGTGAGACAGCCTCAAATTGGTCTCTTTTGATTTGGCTGTTCTTTCATTTTTAAGAAGTGATGACATTCTGAAAAGTTAATGTGAAACAGATATCCTAGGGAGGTACTACCTTAACAATTAGTTTATTTTTAATGCCTCCAAGAGTGCCATTTAGCACTAAAACACCAATTCAATTTCCAGCCAGAGCAGTAGTTGCCTCTCGCAGAGGGAGAATGTCTAAAGAAGCTGTGTCCTTCCCCAACCCCTCAGCCTTCCATCTCTGCAGGCACTGGTTCTGCACAGGATGGACTTGGGAATCCTGACCAAACCAGGACCTTTTGGGAACCATTAGAATGGACTGAACTTGCCTTGACCACCTGGCGGTCTCTTTGGCCCAGAAACTGAAGGGGATCCAAGCACCCTTCATTGCAGCAGAACAGATCCCAACCTCTTTCTCCTGCTTAAGTGTAGGAACAGGGGCTCCTATGGACATACGCACTGAGGTGTCATAGAGCCTCACTGACTAGTACCATTTTGGGGGTGAGGGCCCTGTTTCAGCTAAAAAAAAAGGGAAGGGAGAGGGAGTATATGGCAAATGCAGTTACAGCAGTGCCCAAATGACACAGATATTCACTGGTTTATATGCAGCAATATGGCAGTGCAGATGTTTTGCCTAGATTTCTATCATGAAATCTTATTAATGTAAACTGGAACACCTCAATAATTATCAATGACCAAAAGGACCAGATACATAAAAGACTGATACTTATCTGATACTGAGATAGTGAACTAAAATATTACTTAACTGAATTTGGACATAAATGACCTGGTACAGAGCAGTCCCTCCTCTTTTGCAGGGCTCTCTTTGAAATTTCTGGGTAAAATCTAGGGCGGGAACTTGAGATCCCACTAGGACCCACACGGAGAGAGAATAGGATGCACGTATCAAAGCCACGATAAGTGAGAGCCAGTGTAAGTGGGTGATGTCATTATGGAGTTTACATATATGATTTTTCATATTGTATTTCCTCTTTATTAATACTCAGGGCTAACCAGACTATTAAAAAGGTCTTGGTTTATTCATTTTTCTTTTAACTCATTGAGTCATGTCTTCTTCTATCAGGTTTTACAGCGGTTGATTAAATCTAGAGGAAAGTCCCAAAGCAAACACTTAAATGTTCAACTGGTAGCAGCTGACAAACTTGCACAATGTCCCCCAGTAAGTACCATCATTTTTTGTCTTAGTCATTCTTGCCAAGACAGGAGTGGGTGGTGTGTTTTGTGTTTTTTGTTTTCCTCTTACCATGGTCATTTTTGTTCTAGAATGAGGGTGATGATATGTTATCATAAACATACAGGGTTTTTCAAACAAAGTGCTGTTGTCATGTTGGCTACACTCAGCCATCCAGAACTGGGTGGTGTCTGCCATGTAAGAAGAAATGAACCTAGTGTCCTGTGTCCCATGTCTTCACCTGCTACCTTGACCTCGCAAACACTCAGCAGACTGCTTAATCCAGTCATGGGGACATGTTTATGAAAAATAAAAAAACAAATAAAACATCCTGATTTGACTTTCCTTTAATTTTTCTGCCAGAAAGTTCCAGTAGGCAGAAAAGATATGACCTTGAAGGCTGAGAATTTATGGGAACTAGAAGAGCCCTGCGGTTATAGCAGATGAAGAGGTCAGGGTTAAGTAAGATGAAAAATCAAATTTTAGCAATGTTTTTCCTGGTGCCATTGCCAGAAAACAGCTGCTGAGTTGGAAGCCAAGACAATGGCAGGGATTTTGGTGGGTGTGGGGAGGTGACTGCCCCCCGTGCCCCCGGGGGCCACCAGTAGCTGATCAGTGTCTGTTGCTCAGCTGAGTTACTCCTTCTGTGCCTGTGTTTCTCTAAAGAAAATAACTGTCTTTCCCACTGATTTGATTTACTAGATTTTTAAATATATACTTGTATAAGGATCATTTATGTTCTGTGGAAGCATAAAATCTAATTCGGATGTTTAGAGAGACAATACAGCATGGCTGTTAAAAGTGTGGACTCTGGAGCCAGATTGTGTTCACATCCACACTGGTTTTGTAATCTTGAGCAAGTACCTCCCTCACTGGGTTGGTGTAAAGATTCAATGAGTGACTATGTGCTAAAGCTCTTAGCACAGGGCCTGGCACATAATAAGCACCATCTAGGTGTTTCTGTTATAAATATCGGATGTACTTTGCATTCTGCCGTGCCTAACCTGTCAAGCTCTATAAGATCTGTTCCTGTTCTAGTTCACTGTTATATCTCAGCCCTTTATTACGGTAGGCCCACAGTAAATATTTATTGAATAAGTGAATGAATGAAAGGATGAATGAAAGACAATAAGAGTATGATGCATCCTTTTATCGGATGCTTATTAGACAGGCCAGACACAATGCTAGATGCTTTACATGGATTATCTCTAATCTTCACTGTTACCTAGTAAGGTAGGCAGTATTATCCCCATTTTGTAGATGAGGCTACTGAAGGGAGAGAGGTTAAATGATTTTCCTAAGGTCACCCAGCAAATTAGGATTAGATTAAATCTATCTGGCTCCAAAGCCAGTTTCCTGTCCTCTCAGTCCCACCTACCTGTATACACAATTGGATACCTGCCCGCAGATAATTTGGATAGGTTGGTGTCTGGAGTGCTATGTTAAGAAGTCTAACTTCACACTGCCTATGAATGAAGTCCACTTACAAAATGGAATGTATAATTCAAGCCCTTCGTGTAAATACAAAAATGTATTACCTAGCCCCTGACTCTATAATCCTTACCTGCTGAAGGAAGTTAACCTTTACTGAGCAGCCACCAAACACTAGGCTGTGCTATTGTTTCCAATTTTTAGAACAGTCTTGTAAAGAGAGTGTGTCAGTTTGGGTCTCCTGGGAAGCAGACACCTAAATGGAATTAGAAGTACGAAGCTATTGGAGAAAATGCGTTTGAGAGACTAAACAAGAAAGAGGACAGAACAGGCTGGGAGAACCTTCCGACCAGACCAGACTGATCTCATGAAAGGAAAGGAGGAAGGAAGGAGAAATGGATTGGAGGAGCCTCAGACTGAGATGCAGCTTTCTTGCATGTTTGTCACACGTTGGGCAGAACTGTTCAGGCTCTAGTCTCCGTGCTGTCCTCAGGCACTGGCTAGGAGCCACGGCCTGTGGAGAGCACGGCATTGGCTTGGACCAATGCTGTGGTTGTTCCAGAAGGTGCCACAGTCCCCCCAACCCCCGCCCCAGGCTATCTGCTGACTACACTCATCACAGCAGGTTTTCCAGTAAATCTGAGGATAGGCCTCTTTGACCATCCTAGTAGATAACATTATCCTTACTCTCTAGAAGGGAAAGCTAAGTCCCCGATTAGGAAACTTGTTGGAGGTAACAATTAGTAAATGAGCCCCCAGACTCAACCCTAGGACTGTCTGCCTCCAACAAACCTCTGTTCACTGTGCCCCTCCACCTCTACACAGCTGTGTTGTGCAGGTGAGGCTCTGGCCCCCAACTTTGCTGTGCAAGAGAAATCTCCAGGACGGAACAAAGACCTCAAGTGGGAAAGGGGAGTTGGTAAGGAAATTGAGGGAGTTGAGGGGGAGAGTTCCAGTTCAGGCAACCATTGGCCACGTCCATGTGGTTCTTCAGGATGGATGTTCTGCTGCATCGGACCTCATCTGGAACAGAGAATCTTGGTAAGGCAGGAGACATGGAAGTTCCTGCTCTCTGGACATTGGCAAGGGAGTTCCTTTCTCTTCTGTGTCTGAGGGAGAGGAGGTGTCTCCCTCTTTTCCCCTCTTGTTGCTATTAAGGGAACTTCCTGTTTGCTTTTGTTATGTCTAAAAGCATCCCCACCTTCCTTTGTTTCCTGAGTCAGTTAGCAAAATCTCTTCAACCAATTTAGGCTTTTGGGAAACAAAACCCAGGAAGGGAAATGGAGAGCTGGCAATTTCCTGCCACAGCACCCATCACCCCCCCCATGCCCTTCCCCATGCCAGACAAGGAAGCCCAGACCCTGTCACCTGCATGAGTGGTAGAAAAGAAAGGGGGAAAATACAAAAGGGAAAATACAGATTATTATCTCGAAATTCGTTGGCCATGTTTGTCTTCACAGATGTAGAAGGATCTACACTGTGCAGGTGGCCTAGTTCTGTGAGGTCCCTGAGGTGGCCACAAGATCTGCGGGAGTTTTGGGAGCAGATCTGGGTGGACTGGAGAGTAGTTAGGCCTGTCTAATTTCATTGGACAGAGTGAGCAGACTCACCCACCAGGAGCAAGGCATTTCACAAGTCTACGCAAATGCAAATGCCGAAAAGAATGGGATGGCTTTCTAAGTGGTGAGCTCCTAGTCTCTCACTGCATTCATTTGGAGGCTCTCCGTTCACAGAGTGGGCTCTAGGAACAAATGTCAGAGTTGTGAGAGGAATCTCCTCTGGTGAAGGCTGAAGGCTATGGTATCTAAGACCCTTCTCAACTGTAAGATTGATTCTGTCTAGATTTTGGAAGTGATCAGTGTAGAGATGTTGGTAAAACCAACATCTGTGGAGCCCAAGGAAGAGGAGAGTATAAAAATAAGCAGAAAATATATCAAGTTAAGTGATAGCTTCATTGTTTCAAAATGTCATTAATATCAGATACCTCTATGGAACGATCCGTGGGCACGGCTGAGGACATGGTATCCATGCCACTGTATGGTTAAATCAGACAAACTCAAAATATTTGGTCATCTTAATTTTCTGCGGCTCACCTACAAGAACTAAAATACATTCAGCAAACATTATTTAAGTGTTAGGCCTGGGGCGCTTGGATGGCTCAGTTGGTTAAGCGGCTGCCTTCGGCTCTGGTCATGATCTCAGGATCCTGGGATCAGAGTCCCACATTGGGTTCCCTGCTCAGCAGGGAGTCTGCTTCTCCCTCTCTCTCTGCCCCTCCCCCCTGTTCATGCGAGCACACGCACATGTGCATATGCGCACACTCTCTCTCTGCCTCTCTCTCTCTCACTCACTCAAATAAAGAAATAAAATCTTAAAAAAAAAAAAAGTGTTAGGCCTGTTACCTCGCTAGGTGTTGGGGTTTCAAAGGCATGTTCCTGCCTTTGAGGACTGCATAGTCTAATAAGATTACAGTTGGCTACAGACAAACAACTGAAACAGACTCAAACACAGAGAACAAACTGGTAGTTGCCAGAGGGGAGGTAGGTGAGGGGGCAGATGAAATAGGTGAAGGAGGTTAAGAGGTACAAACTTCCAGTTATAAATAAATAAGTCATGATAAAAAGTACAGCCTAAGCAATATAGTCAATAATTTGTAAAAACTTTATATGGTGACAGATGGTAACTCTGCTTGTGGTGAGCGTTCTGCAATGTATATAATTGTCAAATCAGTATGTCCTGCCCCTGAAACTGATACAATATCAAATGTCAATTATTCTTCAGTTTTTCAGAAAGAGATTACAGTTGGCTAAGTCAACTCTTAGCAAACAATTTGGTAGATCATGAATATCCTTACAGATATTACTTTGTAAATCTCTTATAGATGAAGAGAGTGGTTTAGATCAGTGTTTCTCCACCTCAGCACTATTGACATTTTAGGTTGGATAATTCTTTGTTATGGGAACCTGTCCTATGCACTGTAGGATGTTTAGCAGCATCCCTGGCCAGTACCAACTTCCAAATTGGGACAACCAAAAATGTCTCCAGACATTGCCAAATGTCCCTTAGGGAAAAAAATCACTCCTGGTTGAGAACCACTAGTTTAGGTTAATATAGACACACGTTTTGGTGAATAACATTATAAGAAGTCTTTTTTTTTTTTAAAGATTTTATTTATTTATTTTTTGACAGCAAGAGAGGGAACACAATCAGGGGGAGTGGGAAAGGGAGAAGCAGGCTTCCCACCGAGCAGGGAGCCCGATGCGGGGCTCGATCCCAGGACCCCGGGATCGTGACCTGAGCCAAAAGCAGACGCTTAACGACTGAGCCACCCAGGCGCCCTTATAAGAGGTCTTAATAAGTGATTTCTTGAGATACATTTTAGGTGAATTAAACTTGTTTCTTTGATCTGTTTATAAGAATGAGTTTATTTACATTTTTTCCCTAATAATCATTAGAGAATATACTTGTGTCCTGTTAAAATTGTTTTATTTTAGCTGCTGTGAGAGGGTTGACAATTGAGCTGTGTATATAATGTAATGTGTTACCTTTGAAATAGC